GAGCGGTTAAATCAACTGTTCCACCTCCACAATCAACAATTAGATAGGTTGCTTAAAATTTTTTAAATGATATTAGTTATTAAAAAATTATTAAATTATTTTATAGAAATATGTGGTTTCTAATTAATATAATTTACGTACATCCGACTTTCAATTCATGGTCTTTTAATACTTTTATACAGTGTACGGCGGCAGCTTCAGCTACAATTTTAATATGCTATAAAACTGTATAATGTGCATGTGAAAATATAAATAACAGAATGAATTCTTACGTTCTGTAGTGAATTGTAAGCTTTGTGTACCACTATTGCTAATTAAATTAGCTTTGTAAATACAGTGTCTCATAATAGCTTTTGTTTCCTCAGTAAATTCTATATCGTTATATTAGTTTTAAATTTAATCTTGTAAATTACTACTATTGTCATGGTCGGTAAAATTACCTGCAGGAATGGTAACCACTAAACGTACCATTCTAAAAAAGTTTGTTCCTTCGTTTGTTCCTGGCCAATGTTTTTCGACAGTTTCTTTTATTAACTATATAATATAACATATATAGTAAATAGCTTTAGTAAAATATTTAATAAAAAAATCTTCAAAAATAAAAACTTTTACCTCGCCTACAATTATCACGAAAATTTTATTTAAAAAGTAATTAGCATTAGATTAATTAATAAATTAATTTACACACCCATCTTGCGAAGGTAATCAGTGATAACTCTTTCAGTCGTAAGACCGAATGGTAACTTTGACTTTTGATCTTTTGAAACATTGCCTAAATGAAGTTTAAAAAGTTCTATTGGCCTTGGTAAGTTTTCTGCTCTACTCTCTCGTCGGCTGATTTCTGGAACCAAAGCACGGGCACCCCACTCAACAACACCCTCATAATTTTCATTATATTGTAAAACAGTATTAGTTTTAAATTGGCCATTTACACCTGGCCAACTTTGGTTAGTTATAACATCACGGGAGTAAATATTAGCACATGCAAAGCCCTTAATTGTACAGGTAAAAAAGATTTTTTTTTTTTAAAAAAAAAAAAAGAAAAAAAAAGAGCAATAACAGATAAATTTCACCAGAATATGATAATAAAGTTACCGAAAATGTTGTGCCAAAATCTAATTATTTAATTTTTAATAATAATAAAAAATATTTTGAGCGAGCAGAATTGCATGAATTAAAGCTTCAAAAATACAACCTTAATTTTGTTTATACCTATTCCCACGACAACACGAATGTCAGAAAGTACTTCTGGCAAAAAATTGTAACTGTACGTCTGCTTTTCGACACGAAAATCCTCTTCCATAATTATTTTCACGTTGAAAACCTTAAAAAATAAATTTAATAAATTAAGGAAAATAAAGTTTGTAAACTTTATAATATATGGGTATCTACATATCCGCATTAAAAACCATATATCATATATATATATATGATATATGATATATATGAAATGCATTCTAGTTTGTTACAAAAATTTCATTCAATTGGTTACAAAGATTTTTGGAAGATTCACGTATATGTAACACAGATGTGTACACCATCACTCAAAATATACAGATCAATCAGTCCTAATCGGTTATTGTGTTTGGCTGTTGGAAAAATAGCAAACAAGCGGATAAAACAGATGCTAACTCCGTAACTATGTGTAAACGCTATTAATAAATGCCAGAGATTTTAGTTTAAAACTCCGATGCTGTTCAAACAATTTAAAAAGTTGGTCTCCTATGTTGTGAGTAACAATTTCATTAGTCATATATCTGAAAAACTTAGCTTCTTAATTCGGATTATATAATAAAAGCTAAGCAGTAATAAATTATGCACTACTTCGTGACAGAGCACAAATTCTATTGTAAAATGCCGGAAGTCCCGTTTAATTAAAATGATTTTCAGTGTAGTTTTAATGTGGCCGAAAATTTTATAATATAAATATACTGTATTATTTTTACAAAAGTTTCTAAATTACGATTACAAAAAAATAAAGCAGGTTACGACACGCAATTACTATAAATGTATGTTTAAAAAATCAAACTGCATTACGGAATGATTAAATATAAAACTCCGAAATATTATTATTATTAATGTTACATGCATATGTACGTACGTACAGCTAATTATTTTATGCAACATACAAAATGTAACGATATACAAACTCTGTATATAATGATATTTTAATAATATAAAAGAGAAGATAGTCACAGAACGGAATTATACTCCGTAGCCTATTAATTATGCTATCGATGGAAATAGGCATTAATTAAAATATTTGAAGTGTTAACTACATTATTCGACCTTAATTACAGAAACTTATCGTATTATAATTTGAATATAATGAGTTTGAATTTTAAATGGCGTAAAAAGAGAAGTTTAGATCAAGTTCAAACTCTCTATACAGAAGGAGAACAACTGGCAGAATGGTTACTCGTTAAATATTGTGCAATTGCAGTATTAGAGAATTCTAATAAGCATGACAAAAATATCCAAGATTTGCAAACGATCCTTTCAAAGAGTCAATCCATACAAACTAAACAAATTCAGCAACTTAGTGAAGATGAAGTTCAATGGTTACGAAATTCCAAAAGCAGTATGGAAAACTATATAACAGAAAATATCCAGAAAAGCATTAAAATTCTTGAGGATGAAATTGTCAATCTGAATGAGTATAGTCAAAACGGCATAAAAACTAAGGATAATTTGATATATCAACAAGAGGTTCGATATATAAATACCCTTAATGCGGAAAATGAAAAGCTAAAAAATTATTTGATAGAAAAACGAAACCAATGTGTAGAATTAAATATGAATATTATTATTGATGGTGAATTGATTCAAAAGCAGAATGTAGATGTCAATGATTCTGAATTTGATGCAAAAGAAACGATTGAAAAATTAGAAAGCAGCAATAAAAAGTTAAAAAATATAAAAATAAACTTAATACCTGATATGCGTAAACAGCTCAATAGAATTGGAAATTTTTCTAAAGAGGAACTTCACAACCTTGAAACTGAAAAGAACAAATTAAAGGATTTTATAACGATTCAATGTCATAATTTTGAAATATCAATCACCAAAGAAGCTTTTAAAGCAAACAATACTTCTTCCGATGGTTGGCAACTTATAAATGATATTCAAATTTTTCGTAAAGAAAAAGTACTTCTTGAAAATCATTTAAAAGAAAAATTTAAGGAACAAATTGAACTTAGTCAACCCACACTAAATGAATTTATGCAGAAGTATAGTGCGTTCAATGATGAAACTAAGAAAATTGAAAATGAATTAACCGAAATAAAAGACGAGAATAATAATATTATAGATCGAAAACAACGTCTTCAGAACCAAATTAAAGAGCTAGATAAAGAAAGTGAAGAAGATTCATCTATAAATATTATTAATGGTGCACGTTATCAATTGATTCAAACACTATTAGGAGATATTACCGACCTCTATAACCAAAAACGTGATTTGAGAAATTATTTGACGAAAAAATATGATCTGCTTATTCAATTGGTGAATTTAAACGATGAACATCCAGTTATTGAAAAATATATAGAAGATCACAATAAATTCGAGAGCTCTTTTCCTGAAAAAAAATTTAACTTACGCAGGACTAATAATAATGAAATTATAATCTCTTATGGTGGAGAAGTTATTGATGACACATGTCACTTCCAAAACCTCTACAAAGATAAAGGAAATTTAAAAACTTATTTTTATGCTCAGCTTAAAAAGACTATTGATGATTTCAATTCTGAAAAGCGAAAATTGGAAGAAAAATTAGCCTACATAAACGCAACCAAAAAATATCAAAATCTCCAAATTAATATTCAGTCACTTTATAAAAAAATATGCGAATGGAAATCCGATTTAGTAAACAGGTATAATCAACTTATTAAACTAACAAAATACATTAATAAAGATTTTTCCGAATATACTAAGAAAGTCAATAAGCTCATGGAAGAGATTCAACCTTTCAGCGATGTATCCACAAATGCAAATCAACAAAATATAGAAAATCTAATTTATGATTGTGAACAAACCATCGATAAATACAATAATAAAATTCGGGAACTTCAAGCTGAAAGAGATTTCATTGCTACAGCTATAGATAGTGTAAAAGTTAAAATTGAAAGTGATTTAATTAATAGGTATAGACAACTAATTGAATTAGGTGAATTTAAAAAGTGGACGCTTGTTTCAGACGAGTATCTTAATAATATAAAAAAAATTCAAGGTACCCCTAACCTTAGTGATACAAACCCTAATGATACAAATGATGTGCAAAAAAATACTGATAGAATACAACAGTTAGAGACAAATGTTTCAAATCTTGAAGGTGATATGAAATCAAAAAATCAAAAGATATATGAATTAAAAGGTGAATTGGAAGCAAGAGATATAAAAATACGTGAATTAATCGAAGCGAATAATTCTCTTAGAAATGAAGCTGCTAAATATTCATCAGAACTTGGGAAAGCAACAAATTTCGAATTTGGTGATCATGATAGCAATAACATTGGAAAATTATCAAGTGAAATCAAACAATTAAGACATGATCTTGAATTCTTTTGCACATTAAGAAAATCTATTGCATTAATCAATGAATCATATATGAAAAGTCTTTTGAAAAAATACAATTGCTCAACAGAAGTTCTCGGAAAAAACTATGCCAAAAACCTATTAGAAGGTCTCTTGCAGCGTCATATTATTGAAACAACCATTTCCAAAGCGAAAGAATATCTCAATATTGATGAACGGAATAAGGATGCTTGCTTGGAAGCCAAAATAAAGTCAGTGACAAATAGATTACAAGAATATACAACTGCACTTTCAACGAATCGACTCGGAGCAGACAAAGTTTCTCCTGCAATTCCTACGAAATTACGTCAAATGGTATATACTCTTCTTAGCAACAGAGGTTTTTCTAAGTATAGAGATGAACGTGAACATCCAGTTATCGAGCGTTTAACGAAGGAAATTTTAAATATAATGAATAGCTGTCGTAAAATAAATGACACTGTAAAGAACAAGGAAATTGAATCCATGACCACCAAAATCGTCCGACAAATCATTGTGATTTTTCTCTTTCGATTTAAAGTTCAAGAACCTATTATTGAATACCTATGGTTTGAAAGTAGAGATAAAATTGAACTTGAATTTATGGAATATTCAGTAAATGAAGAGCTTAAAAACGCCGAAGTGGGTGTTTGTTCATTTCCCTTAATTATAACTAATATTAATAAACCAAATTACAAAGTGATCTCAAAAGCAAGTATTGTAAGAAAAAGCTTCTAATAGTGTAGTAATACAGATTAAGTAATAAGTTCAGAAATTAAAATAGTGCGACTTGATAAAGAATATCTTTTAAATTGTATTAGTCCTTAAAAAAGGAAAATTAGGCTTCGCCTAATCTAAATTAATTTTTGTACTGCACATATGTACATAAGTTCGTCCAAATTTGTACATGTATGTACGTACGTACGTGATTTTTATGTCTTATTTCAATTTCTATTTACGCGCATAAATATATAGATTTTTTTATAGACTTTGTTATAATCATGTATCGATATATTAAAATTAAATAAAATGGTTTTGCTTTAAAATAATCATATAAAGCGACAAATGTATTTATAACAAAATGACGCATTAGTTTAAGGACGGGTAGGATGAGGGTAAGACTCAGGTTAGACATTCGTTTGATTGGCTGATGTAAATCAATTGCCCATTTATATACTAAAAGCCATTTCCAGCTTTGTACGAACGCTAATATTCACTATGCAAAAGAAATCTCAAAAAAAATCTTCCTCCTCGTGGATTTTGCTTAGAAGACAAAGTATATTGCTGTTATTGGATCGTGAGAAATTGTACTGTACAATAAGGGTAACTGTCTAAACCTAACTTGTTTCGTAAGATTTAAACAAATTTTATTGCTAACTTAATTGCTTGATTGGGAGTTTTCAACCATAAATTTAACCTTTGGTTTATATATTGTATCGTATATTCTTTAATGGGATTAGGCTTATTAATAATTAAATATTACATTTACCCAACTTTATGCGTATCTATCTATTCTCTAAAGAGTGTGATAATTTCATTTGCATGTATTTGTTGGTTTGTAAGCTTTATACTATAAGCTTTATACGAAGTTTTGTAATTTGATTAATTATCACTGAATATCACGGGTAGATCTACAAAAATTAGCCAATCATATTAATGTCGGTCTATGAGGGTAGGGCAATAGTGAAAGAACTTCTAACCCAAAGTTTGTAAAAAATTTTATTTTTTTCGTTAAAACACAGAAAACAATTT